TTTCTTTTTGCTGTTCTGATTGGGCATTTTTTTCTTCCTTATATTCCAAATCTATGGTTTGTTCCTTGGATTTACGTACTCTATTATTGAAGCTGTGTAAATTATTATTTCAGTTAATGCCTCCTTCAATTCTGTGTATCTATGATTTCTGACTGGTCCTTTTTTATGCTCTTGAGGCCCTCACTAAGTTCACTGAGGTTCTCACTAACTTCATTGAGCATCCTTATAAGCAGTATTTTGAACTCAGCATATTAGGTTGCTTATCTCCATTTTGCTTAGTTCTTTTCTTGGGGTTTTGTTCTGTTCTTTCATTTGGGACCTGTGTCTTTGTCTCCTCATTTTGGCTGCCTCCTTATGTTTGTTTCAGTGTATTACTTAATGAGAGGTATGGGGCTCGCTGAGACCAGATGCTGCTCGTTTGAAAGAATTTAGGAAAAACCTGAAACAGGATCCAAGACAGGGCAATCCTATGGTTAAGCAAGTGGCAACAGCTTGGGTGGGCCTGAAAGTTGGGTGGGGTGGGGCGGGGCCTCAGGGAGTCACCAGGGCGGGGCAACCAGTGTGAGCCAGGTTGCTGGAGTCCCAGATATGGCAGCTGTCTGCCGCCCCAGGGAAGGGCTCACCAAAGGAACAAAGGCCTCTGACAGCACGTTTGTCCCAGAGAAAGCCCCCTCTCCAGCCCTCGCTCCAGTGCCAAACAGCTCAGTTCTTCCCTGTGTGTCTCTGGTGCCCCTCGAGCTGCCTCCCCTCCAAGCTTAGAGGGAGAGAGTCCGACAAGTCCGTGCGTGGGCCCTTTAAGGAGCTGCCTGGGGCTCCAGCCGCCTCAGCCTCCCTGAGCCTCAGTTCCTGCTGGTTTTTCCAGCCAGAAGTTATGGGGACTTCTCTTCCTGGCACTGGAACCCTGAGCGGGGCACCTGGTGTGGGATGGGGACCCCTCAGTCCTCAGGAAGGACCTTCCCAACCGCGGGAGCCTCCTGATTCTTATCCGCCACACTTGGGTGTGGGACAAGCCTGTCGCTGCGGCGCCACCCCTCATGCCGCTGCCCTTCCTACCAGTCTGGATATGGCTGCTGCTTTAATTCCGTAGTTGTAGGACTTCCATTCAGCTTGATTTCAGGCGGTTTTGAATGATGGTTGTTCTGTAGTTTAGTTGTAACTTTGATGTGGTTGTGGGAGGACACGATACCGCGTTTACCTACGCCGCCATCTTGACCAGAGGTCCTGAATGTGTTTTTTAATTGATTTTTTAGAGAGGAAGAGATAGAAACACCAAAGTGAGAGAAACATGTAATTCTTTTTTTTTTTTAATCCTCACCCAAGGACATTTTTTGATATTTTGTTCAGATAAAGTGGGAGGGAGAGAGAGAAACATTGATGTGAAAGGGACACATCAAGTGGTTGCCACCCACACGACCCAACCAGGGCTGGGAACAAACTGCACCCAAGGTACGTGCCCTTAGCGGGAACCGAACCCAGGTCTCTCCAGACCGCAGACCAATGCTCTAACCGCTGAGCCAAACCGGCCAGGGCCAAAGTGAGAGAAACATGGATCAGCTGCCTCCCACATGCCCTGTACTGGGGATTGAGCTGTGACCCCAAAATTGAACCCAGACCTCTCAGTCCATGGAACTATGCTCAGTCCACTGAGCCACACCGACCAGGCAGTAGCTCCATTCTTTTTTTTAATGAAGTTGAGCTCAGTTGGTGTGGCTCAGTGAATTGAGTGTTGTCCTAGTTCGATTACAGGTCAAGGCACATGCCTGGGTTTCAGGCTGGATCCCCTGTAGGGGGTGTGCAGGAAGCAGCCAATTGATGTTTCTTTCACATGGGTGTTTATCTCTCGCTCCCTTCCTTGCTCTCTTAAAAAAAAAAAAAAAAAGAATAAAGCTACCATATGACCCAGAATTCCTTTTCTGGGTATCTATCACCCCCAAAATTTGAAAACACATATTCATAAAGATACCCCTATGTTCACTGCATAATTATTCATGGTGGCCACGATATATAAATAACCTAAGTGTCCCTTTATGGATGACTGGATGAAGAAGATGTGGTTTATATATGTATAATGTAGTACTACTCAGTCATAAAAAAAAAAGAGAGAAATATTGCTATTCACAACAATATGGATCTTGATAGTGGCATGCTAAGTGAAATAAGTCAGATGGAAAAAGACAAGAACCGTATGATTTCACTCATATGTGGTATATAAACCAAAACAAGGTCATAGACACAGACAACTGTTTAGTCACTACCAGAGGGGAATTAGGTAAGGGGACTTCAAAGAGGTAAAAGGGGTAAAATCCAAGGTGATAGAAGGAGACTATACTTCAGGTGGTGAGCATACAATGGAGTACACATATGCTGTATTATAAAGTTGTACACCTGAAATTCATAAACTGTTGTTAATCAATGTTACCCCAAGAAATTTAATTGAAAAAAAATCTAGAGGTGGAGACAGACATGTAAAAATACACACACAGTCCGACCAGTGTGGCTCAGTGGTTGAGCAGTGACCCATGCACCAAGAGGTCATTGGTTTGATTCCTGGTCAGGGCATAGGCCCAGGTTGTGGGCCCAATCCCCGGCGGGCGGCATGCAGGAGGTGGTTAATCGATGTTCTCTCTCACCAATGTCTCTGTCTCTCTCTCCCTCTCCCTTCCTCTCTCTGTTTTTGTTTTTTTAATCCTCACCCAAGGATATTTTTCCATTGATTTCCAGATAGAATGGAAGGAAGGGAGGGAGGGAAGAAGAGAGAAAGAGAAAGAAACATCAATGTGAGAGAGACACATTGACTGGTTGCCTCCTACAGGACCCTGACCAGGGCCAGGACCGAACCACAACCGAGGTACATGCCCTTGACTGGAATCAAACCTGAGTCATTGGTCCCCAGGCTGATGCGCTAACCGCAGAGCCAAACTGGACAGGGCCCCTCCCTCTCTCTAACTTCAGTAAAGAACAAAAAAATTTTTTTTTTAATAAAATAAAAATACACACACACATATCTGAGTTTGCTTCTGTGAAAGCCAGAAAAGTGAAATTCTAGTAAATCCAGGTTTGGATACAGATAGAATATTTAAGCTCAAAGTACTGTGAGTTTTTTTTTTGTTGTTGTTGTTAATCTTCACCCGAGGATATTTTTCCATTGATTTATTTTATTTATGTATTTATTTATATTTTTATTGATTTTGAGAGAGAGAGGAAAGGAGAGGGAGAGAGACAGAAACATCAATCAGCTGCAAGACTGCAACCCAGGCATGTGCCCTGACCAGGAATTGAACCAGCGACCTCTTGGTGCATGGGTCGATACTGAACCACTGAGCCACACCAGCCAGGCTCCATTGATTTTAAGATAAAGTGGAAGGGGTGGGGGGCATCAATGAGATGACACATTGATTGGCTGCCTCCTGACATCGAACTTGCAACCCAGGTACTTTCCCTTGACCCAGAATCAAACCCACAACCCTTTGGTCCTTGGGCTGATGTTCTAACTACTGAGCCAAACAGGTCAGTATTGTGAGTTTTAATATAATTTGTTTTCAATATCTTTTTTCTTTCTTTTTTTATTATTTATTTTTATAAAAAGAGGAAGGGCTGTGGCCGGTTTGGCTCAGCGGTTAGAGCGTCGGCCTGCGGTCCAGAGAGACCCGGGTTCGGTTCCCGCTAAGGGCACGTACCTCGGTTGCAGATTGTCCCCGGCCCTGGTTGGTCGTGAGGGTGGCAGCCACTCGATGTGTCCCTTCACATCGATGTTTCTCTCTCTCTCTTCCTCTCTCTCCCTCCCACTCTATCTGAACAAAAAAAAATGGAAAAATGTCCTCGGGTGAGGATAAAAAAAAAAAATAGTAATAATAAAGAGACGAAGGAAGAGGGAGAGAGAGAAACATTGATGAGAGAAGACATCAACTGGCTGCCTCCTGCATGCCCCTCACTGGGGGTTTGGCCCACAACCTGGGCATGTGCCCTGACCAGGAATTGAACCGGCAACCTCTTGGTGCATGGGTCAATGCTCAACCACTGTGCCACACCAGCTGGGCTCTTTTCAATATCTTAATACTTTTTCAATAACTTTAATGTTCCAGGGGAAACGTTCATCATTAAAAATAAAAGGACAGCCCTGGTCGGTTTGGCTCAGCGGTTAGAGCGTTGGTCTGTAGTCCAGAGAGACCCGGGTTCGGTTCCCGCTGAGGGTACATGCCTCGGTTGCAGTTTGTCCCCAGCCCTGGTTGGGTTGTGCGGGTGGCAGCCACTCGATGTGTCCCTTTCACGTCGATGTTTCTCTCTCTCTCTCCCTCCCACCCTCTCTTTCCCTCCCACTCTATCTGAACAAAAAATGGAAAAATGTCCTCGGGTGAGGATAAAAAAACATTTAAAAATAAATAAATAAATAAAATAAAAGGACAGCCCTGGCCAGTTTAGTTCAGCGTCAGCCCGAGGACCAATGACTTACGGGTTCGATTCTGGTCAAGGGCACATACCTCGGTTGCAGTTCATTCCTGGCCCTGGTCGGGGTCGTGTAGGAGGCAGCCAGTTGATGTGCCCTTCTCACATCAATGTTTCTCTCTCCTGCTCTCCCACTCTATATGAAGATAAATATTCTCTGGTGAAGATTAAAAAAATAAAATAAAAATAAATAGTCCCAGCTGGTTTGGCTCAGCATTTAAAGCGTCGGTCTGCGGACCAGAGTCCAGGGTCCGGTTCCCACTAAGGGCACATACCTTGGTTGCAGTCTGCCCCCAGCCCCAGTTGGGGTCATGTGGGTGGCAATCACTCAATGTGTCTCTCTCACATCGATGTTTCTCTCTCTTCCTCCCTGTCTCTCTCCTGCTGTCTGAAGATAAATGCAAAAATGTCCTCTGGTGAGGATAAAAAATAAAAATAAATAGACATAAAAATATGTTTTAAAAAAAGGCATTTCTCATTTTCTCTTGGTCTCCAAAATGGCTTGACACAGCACTGTTTGTTCAATCCTATATTTACTTAAAATTTTGACATTTTGATGCACTGTATGGAATCTATATTCTTAGCAGTTTATGCTTTCTGGGTGTTTAAAGGACAGTGCAATATAAATTCAGTATCTGATATCGTTGGTTTTCTTGGTTTCATGCATATTAAACCTGATAGTTTTATTGATTAGTATAAGAACTTTTTGTTGTTGTTGTTCAGGTAGAGTGGGAGGGAGAGAGAGGAACAGAGAGAGAGAGAGAAACATCGACGTGAAGGGACACATCGAGTGGCTGCCACCCGCACAACCGACCAGGGCCGGGGACAAACTGCAACCGAGGTACGCGCCCTTAGCGGGAACCGAACCCGGGTCTCTCAGGACCGCAGGCCGACGCTCTAACCACTGAGCCAAACCGGCCAGGGCTATAAGAACTTTTTTTGACATTTTGTTCACAATGAATTTTTTGTGTTCATTTTGAATTGTTAAAGTATTCCTTTAATACCTTTCATTTTGACAACCAAGGTATTTGTCACCCCTCCCCCCACTAAATTTGGGCCCCAGGAGAGTGTCTCCCTAGCCTCGTATTAACTTGCAGGGACCTTGGCAGTATCTGGGGACATCTGTGGTTGTCACGTCTGGGAATGCTTGTGGCTTCAAGTAGGTGGGGAACAGGGATACTGCTCAATACTCCACAGTGCCCAGGATGCACCCACACACACACACAGAGAATGCGCCCCTGATGTGAGCAGTGCCAAGGGAGAGACCCTGCCATATAAAGTCTTTTAAAGGTTCCTCATATGGAACCTTCTGGTTTAATTTCTCTTTTTTCCCTTGTGGAGATGGGCAGGAGAGGGTGTGGGGGGACTGAGTCAGCCAGCCTGGAAAAGGAGGTTTACTGCAAAGAAGCAAAGTGCAAGTAAGGCCCAGCTGAAGGAGAGAGGAGTAGACAGCCCCATTCCTACCTCCCAGGGTCATGTTCATCCTCCCAGTCAGGCCATCGAGTCTGCATAAGGCCTGTGGACCAATTGCTTGGGGTATGATCCCAGGGGCTCAGCTTGGACACATAGGCTGTATATTTTGACAGTAGGTCAAAATCCTGTGACCCAACACCACACACCCATCAGGATGGTTACTATAAAAAAAAAAAAAAAGCCCTGGCCGGTTTGGCTCAGCAGTTAGTGTTGGCTCACAGACTGAAGAGTCGCAGGTTCAATTCCGGTCAAGGGCACATACCTGGGTTGTGGTTTGTCGCTGGCCCTGGTCAGGGTCCTGCAGAAGGCAGCCAGTCTATGTGTCCGTCTCACTTCAATGTTTTTCTCTCTCTCCCTCCCTTCAACTCTATCTGAAGATAAATAGAAAAATATCCTTTTGTTAAAAAAAACAAAAATAAGCCTTCGCCAATTTGGTTCAGCTCTCGGACCAGAGTCATGGGTTCGATTCCCAGTCAAGGGCACGTGCCTTGGTTGAAATTTGATCCCCGCCCCTGGCTGGGATTGTGGGGGAGGCAACCAGTCAATGTGTCTCTCTCACATCGATGTTTCTCTCTCTCTCTTTCTCCCTCCCTCCCACTCTATCTGAAAATTAGTGGAAAATATCCTTGGGTGAGGATTTAAAAAAAAAAGAACCCAGAAAACTAGTGCTGGTGAGGATATGGACAAAATGGAACCCTCGTGCACTGTTGGTGGGAATGTGAAATGGGGCAGCTGCTCTGGAAAATAGAATGATGGACATGGAATTACCATCTGACTCATCAATTTCACTTCTGGAATTCCATTTCTATATACCCCCAAAACTGAAATCAGGACAGAGAGGGTAATCCTGGGAACCCCTGACATGAGGTGGGAGTATTAATATCTTTTCCTTTATACATGTTCACATGGCTTCACTGATACAATTAACGTGACTGTCTCTGTAATTATATTTCTTTGCTTTTTTTTTTTTTTTTTTTTGCGGGGGAGGAAGATAGGAAGGAAGAGAGAGAGAAACATCGACTGGTTGTCACCCACATGACCCCAACCAGGATGGGGACAAACTGCAACCGAGGTACATGCCCTTAGCGGGAACTGAACCCAGGTTTCTCTGGTCTGCAGGCCTACGCTCTAACCGCTGAGCCAATCCAGCCAGGGCTGTAATTATATTTCTTATATTAAGAAATAAAGTTGTGCTCTGGCCAGGTGGCTCATTTGATTGGAGCATTGACCCTTAGACCACAGAGATTACAGATTGGATTCCCAATCAGGTCACATAACCAGATCCCTGGTCGGGCACGTAAGGGAGACAACTGATAGATATTTCTCTCACATTGCTATCTCTCTCTCCCTTCCCCTTCTTCTCTCTAAAAATCATAAAAACATATTCTCAGGTGAGGATTTTTTTTTAAAAAAAGAAAGTTGTACATTCTGGAAAACACACCTAGCAGTTAAGAGCCGGTTAAAACCAGGGTCTTGGGAGTTCTGGGTTTGGATCTGAACTCTACATTGGAACCTAAGGCTTCAAACCATCTTTGTAACCTGGTGATTGCCCATTCAGGACGCCCGCTTGACCACTTTGCCCTGCTCACCTGAGGCTGCTGCATTCTGTGCAGGAGGGGAAGGAGATATAAAAAATCTTGATAAGTTGCATTCACTTTAAGACTTTTAATAAATAACATCTACCTGATGTGGGCTTGGGTTTCCCTGCCTAGGACCTGCCTCCAACCTGAGCATGAATCACGTGGCCCAGGGCAGAGAAGACACCTGCAGGGGAGACCCAGGTGTGCGGACCACCCCTCAATCACCCAGAGTGGAGCCTGGGGCTTTCTCATCCACATCCTCCCAACTCACCCAGAGAGCGGACTCTAGGACGGGCGGTCAGGAGGTCCAGCCTGATCCTGGCGCCGGCCACAGTTGTTCACTAATGCAGCAGTCTCAAGCACCTGCCCTGGGCCGGTTAGGATCTACTCTGGGGAAGCAATGAAGGCAGGGGAGGTACTGAGAGGGCAGTGCCACCTGGACCCTGTGGCTGGGGAGGGGAAGGGGTTATAGAGGGACAGAGACAAAAGGAGAGCGAGAGGTTCCATAGGAGGGTCCTGGACCCCCGAGGCGACAGATGTGGACTGGGCTAAGATGGAGGCAGGGAGGAAACGTATTCCCGATTTCTGAGACTTCAGAAAAGCGTTGGGTGGGACCTGGGTTATGCAAGGTGTTGGTCAATGGCAATGGCTCAGGATGTGGACGCCGGTGAAGAGGCTGGACGCTATGAGACCGGAGGGCAGTAGCACAGAGACCTGGCACTGGACGGGCAACCCGGAATCCAGACGGGGATGTGATTACAGATGCAGGAGGGAGACCCCTGTGAGACAGGCGGTGGCACAGACATTGGACGCAGGCGCGGAGCGCGCGAGCCTCGTGCAGCCGCAGGCCCCCCGCTCCCTGTCCGCGTGCTGATTGGCGCTGTCGCCGCGGGGCGGGGCTTGCGTGGCGCCTGCGCAGCACGCTGCCCCGCGCGCGGGCGGGTGGGCGGAGCGGCCCCCCGAGCGGGGGCTGGCGAGCTCGGGGAGGGGGCTGAGAGGGCGGCAAAGCCGGCGCGCGCCCGGCTGGGGGTGGAGGGTGGGGGCCTGCGGGCCGGAACAGCCACGGTAAGTGGCGGCGGCGGCGGAGGCAGCTGAGGCGGCGGAGACCGGGGGTCCGGGCGGCGGCAGCGGCGGCGGCGGCGGGCCAAGGAGCCGGGCGCGATGGAGCGGAAGAGGTGGGAGTGCCCGGCGCTCCCGCAGGGCTGGGAGAGGGAAGAAGTGCCCAGAAGGTCGGGGCTGTCGGCCGGCCACAGGGATGTCTTTTACTATAGGTGAATGAACGTGCTGGCAGGGCAGGGCCCCAACGAGCGCCTCCCAGCGGCCTCTGCGGCGGCCTGGGCACCCTGACCCGGGCCGCGGCCTGGGCCCCGCGCGTGCGTCCTGCGTGCGTACCGGCGCGCGGCGGGCGCCTGACCCAGTGCGCGTGCGCCACCGCGCGCGGTACTCCCCCTCGCTCACACTAATCCTCAGTCCAGTGCGCGTGCGCCCCCAGCGCCACCGCATGGCCCTTGGATCGACACCAGGCTGTCGATCGCTTGCCTTTCTTCGGCGGCCATGGCAAACCTGCCGGAGGGCCGAGGGACGCCAGTGCAGGCCAGACGCCGCTGGGAGGCAGGGGTGGGAGCTGGGCTAGGTTTTCTCTGATGGCCCGGGAGGGCATACCTAGGAAAGCAGGTTCCTGGGCCCCTCCCTCGGTGGCGGGGCCCCGGGGATGCGTGTTTTTGAAGGGCCGCTCTTTCCCATCTTTGGGTATGTTCCGAGAGCGCCACCCCGCGCATTGGTCGTGAACCCCCCGGGCCCGCAGAGACAAGGGCCCTGAGGCTGTGAACCCCGCACACACAGTGCCCCGCCTCTGTGTTGACGTTATTGGTGGCCTGAGGCTTTTCTAGTTCCCCTCCCCCAAATTGGAAGGAGGGGCTGCCCTTGGCCTGGGAGAGTGGCAGAAAAATTGCCCGAACCCCCTCCGTGGAACAAAGAATTAGTGGGAGACTTGCAATCCAGACCCAGGCCCAGACAGTGGACCGCTTGCTGTTCGCCTTCTCTCCTTCTTTCGATGACTGGTAGAACGTGCTTTTGTTTCTGACCCAGCTTTGACGGTTCCCTCCCCTTTGCTTCAGGTCCCTTGTGAAAGCCGGCAGGACACCTTCCTCGTGTTGAATGCCAGCAGGTGCTAGGGGGTTATGGGCCCAGAAACCGGCTGAGGCCAAAGAAAAGCAGAACCGATGCTCCATGGGGGTGGGGGGTAGGCCTGTGCTAGCCCTGTTTTGGGAGAAGGGGGAAGTAAGCTGGGAAGAGAGAGTGACTGATCTAGGACAAGCTCAGGTTCTGGTTTCCAGTTTCCAAAAAGTACAGGGCAGCAATGGGAGTGAAACTGTGAACCTCTAAATGTGTATGGGAATTGGCTGGACCCTTTAACTTACTCATTGACATAGTGGCACTGCAAACAGTGTTTCTTTTTTTTTTAAATTCTCACCCAGGATATTTTTCCATTGATTTTTTTCAGATAGAGTGGGAGGGGAGGAGGGAGGGAGAGAGAGAGAGAGGAACAGGGATGTGAGAGACACATCAATTGGTTGTCTCCTGCCTGATCCCAGCCAGGACCTGGGATAGAACTGCAACCAAGGTACATATTCTTGACTGGAATTGAATCCGAGACTCTTTGGTTACAGGCCGATGCTCTAACCGCTGAGCCAAACCTGCCAGGGCCAAACAGTATTTCTTAGGGACACATGCATTCCTATTTGCTGCCATCCACTCCCTCACAGATTGTTTAGAAAATGTGAATCCTTTTAGTTCTGTCCTAGGTCAGTGGGGAGGCCTTAGACTAGGAACCGCATGCCACATTTAATTCTAAGTATGTTTGTGTGCTTGCTTTGTTTTAGATCCAAGGACTGAGGCAGGTTTCTCTGCTTCTAGTTCTTTATTAATTTAACAAACATCTCCGCAACATCTGCTTCGTGTCCGGCACTACTGGGTCCTGGCCATTCAGCTGGGAGTAAGACACTAGCCCGCCCTTCCTGGGTGACAGTTGAGGCACCATCCCTCACCGTTACTCCTGGATTTCAGGTGGTGACATATGCTGAGAAGTGCAGGGATCTGTGAGAGAGGGTAATAGGGGTGTGGGGTGCCTGAATACGGCTGGGGCAGGTCAGGGAGGGCTTTCTGAGTAGGTGACACCTAGCTGAGCCCTAACAGTGGAGCTTGGAAGAGCAGTCCAGGCATTGGGAACTGCAGGAGCCCGGAAAGCAGAGAGCAGTCTGCAGCTCAGGAGCTGAACCAAGGCCCTCATGGCTAGAGCACCCTCTTGTCTCCTGCCTGACAGCCTGGCAGGGCCTTAGCTGAGTGAGACCCCATTCTGAGGCCCCAGCCCCAAACATCAGGGTCTGGAGGTGGGGGAAAGTTCCAAAAGGACAATGGACAGATGCTGCACTGAAGAGGTGAGGGCCTGAGATGCGAAAGGAGGGGGCTTGGGGTCCAGCTTCTTTCCCAGGTCTCTGGCCTGAGTGACTTATCAGATACCTACTAGGTGCCCCCTTTTCTCCTAGTGGTGGGCGGTCTAGAAGGATGTGATGTGGAACTGTGGTATTTTCCTGGAATGTGGGTTCCTGGCCTCATCACTCTCTGGAGCCCCTATCTAAACCAGGCAACTAGGCAGGAGCATGGATAGATTTTCCTGATTCTCTTAATGCAGTGTGAGACTGAGGAGTTAGATAAACCTGTCCCTGGGTTCTAGCCCTGCCCCTAGGGACATGCAGGCCTTGAGTTCATGGTTTTCTCCTCCAGAAAGTGAGAGTGAACGAGTGTGTTCTTTGAAGAATTGCATTGCAGGAGAGGTGAAGTAACTCTACAGACTGTCCCATGGGGACTCACCCACTCACCCTTCCATCTTTATGATTTGCTGGAGCTCCAGTCCCAGAGTCTACTGAGACTGGGCAGGGGGCGCAGGTAGAGCATCTGCCACAACCATGTGTTTTCTTTGTGAAAACAGTCTCCCTGGTTGACATTTTTTGTTCAGGCAGGAAATTGAGGACTTGGGTAAAGTTAGTTCCCTAGCCTAACAATTCTTTGGGATGTGCAGCATAGAGAGAATTTTTCAAAAATACCTCATTTTATAAGTAGAAATAGACTTAAGAAAAGCAGAACAGCAACCCTGTCTTCTGGTGAGAAGCAAAGGTGTAGGAAAAGACCAGGTCTGAGGCAAGTGTATGTGCTTTTGCATCTCTTCGGGCCCCCGGCTCCACGCTGGGCACTGGCTCCCATCCCCACAACTAGCCATGCTTCCTGGTGGGGCTACCTCCATAGAAGGGCTGTGGTGCTCATTTGTTTTCTTATTTACTAAATATCAGGGATGTCTTCCAGTGTCAGTACAGATCTGCAAAACCTGTTTTGAAAATAGATACAATTTCACATTTCATACAATTCACTTTTTAAAAGTTTACAATTTGGCAGTTTTAGTACATTTCACAACATTGTGCAACCATCACTACTCTCCTTCCAGAACATTCTCATCATCCCAGAATGAAGCTCTGTACCCATTAACATCACTCCCCATTCCCTCCTCAAGCCCCTGGCACTTTATTGAGATAGGGTACACATACCACACAACTCACTTTTTTTGTTGTTGTTAATCCTCCTTTGAGGATATTTTTCCATTGATTTTTTTTCCTCTTTTTAATCATCACCCAAGGACATTTTTCCATTTATCATCAGATAGAGAGGGAGGGAGAGGGAGAGAGAGAGAGAAAGAGAAACGGCAATACGAAAGACACATCTACTGGCTGCCGCCCCCATGACCCTACCAGGGGTAGGATGAACTGCAACCGAGGTACGTGCCCTTAATGGGAATCAAACCCCAGACTCATTGGTCTTCGGCCTGACCCTCTGACCACTGAGCGAAACGGGCCAGGGCTTGATTTTTTTTTTTTCTCTTTAAGAGAGAGTGGGGAAGAGAGAAACATTGAAGTGAGATGTGAGAGAGACACATTGATTGGTTGCCTCTCACACTACCCCAACTGGGGCTGGGAATCGAACCTGCAACCTAGGTATGTGTCCTTGACCAGAATTGAACCCATGCCCTTTGGTCCATGAGTGGACCCTCTTAACTGCTGAGCCAAACCAATCAGGGCACAATTCACCCATTTAAAGTGTACAGTTGGCCCTGGCCAGTATGGCTCAGTGGTTAGAGTGTTGGCCTGCGGTCCGGAGAGACCCGGGTTCGGTTCCAGCTAAGGGCACATACCTCAGTTGCAGTTTGTCCCCGGCCCTGGGTGTGTTGTGCGGGTGGCAGCCACTCGATGTGTCCCTTTCATGTCAATGTTTCTCTCTCTCTCTCTTCTTCTCTCTCCCTCCCACTCTGTCTGAACAGAAAATGGAAAAATGTCCTCGGGTGAGGATAAAAAAACAAACAATAAAGTGTACAGTTGAATTTTTGGCATATTTAGATACAGCCATTGCCACAGTCAATTTTAGGACATTCTGATCACCCCCCAAAAAAACCCACACTCTTAACTATCACTGCCCTCTGCCCCACCCAGCCCTAAGCAACTGCTAATCTGTACATTGTGTTTTTATCTCCCTATTCTCATTCATTTTTAAAGACAACAGCAACGGGTGGGGGTGACTGGAGGCAAAGAAATGTTGGTGAGTATTTCTCTGGGGTCCCTTTCCTCTTTGCCTTTCTGCTGCTCTGGGCACGTGGGCTGGGTGTTCACATCAGCCAGCACATACTATAATAGAAAAGTGGACTTTCCAGAAGAGGCCTTAGAGCCTTTAGAACGTGAGGCAGTCGGGGACTGTGTGCTAAGGTACCTGTACAAGTGGATGTGGATGGGCCAAGGGAAGAAGCACAGGTTCTTGTAATTAACTTGCCCAGGAGGAGGTCCTAGTAGAGCTGCCTGAGCTGAATGTGCCATTGACCACATGTCACTGTAGAAGTGGGTTTCCTTCTGCCTATAACAGGTCCCTCCCTGCCCTGTATTGTCCTTCATCTGCTGTATCCCAGGACATCTGGAGCAGGACTGGAGAGGGCTGGCATATATTTGCTCAAATTAGGGGCTTATCCCAGAGGTTTCCTCATGCCCATCAGCAGTTACCCCTCCATCCTTCTCCAGCCCCTGGACCCACAAATCCACTTCCTCTACTTGTGAATTTGCTTGTTCTGGACATTTCACATAAATGAAATCACACACTGGCCTTTTGTATCTGGCTTTTCTACTGAGCATCATGTCTTCAAGGTTCATCCACATCGTAGAGAGTGTCAGTGCTTCTCTCCTTTTCGTGGCTGAGTAATATTCCACTGTGTGGATGGGGTCATGTATTTATCTGTTCATTAGCTGGTGTTTCCACTTATGCCTATTGTGAATCCTGCTGCTGTGAATATTTGGGTTGTTTTTGTATGGATGTATGTTTTCATTCTCGGGGGAAATACCTGGGGGTGGAATTGCTGTTTGATCCTTTGAAGAGCTGCCAGACTGTTTCCAAAGTGGCTGCACAAGTTTACGTGGCAGTACTGTTACTACATGCTGGGTCCTGCGCTGGTCGTTTCCAGCAAGGTTGTGTTGACTGCACTGCACAGTAGCCCAGTGGGTGGGGTTGGTTGTGTCCTAGATGCTGAGCGGGATGCAGAATTTCACAGCCAGGTCCTCACAACTCCTGCTTTCTAGCTTTCCAAACAGGTCATGCCTAAGCAGTTGTTTGGGGTCCTGGTACCGAATCTTTTTTATTTTAATTTTTTTTCTTTATTGATTTTTAGAGAGATAGAAACATTGATGAGAGAGAACATCAGTTGGCCCCTCCTGCATGCCCCCCACTGGGGATTTGGCCCACAACCTGCGCATGTGCCCTGACCAGGAATTGAACCGGCTACCTCTTGGTGCGTGGGTCAATGCCCAACCACTGAGCCACACTAGCCAAGCATGGCCCCGGATCGTTAACATGAGATTTTACACCCCTGTGCCCTAGGAGACCCTAGTGGCCATCGCTGTAACCACTAGAAGGAGACTGCTGTTAGGGCTTGCCCCTCAAATACCTGCTATCATTGGGTCTTTTCTCAAGAATATAGCCTACTTCTGTTTCTGGAATGTTTTGGAAATGGCAGCCAAGCTCCCAGGGCTATGCCCCATCCCTCTGTAGGTCATGACGTTCATCTAATTTTGGCCTTGTTGTCTGCTGTGGGCCTGGCATTGGGGTTGCAGGGCTTCCCAGTGCGTTCCTCGGCCCCTGACTCCTCTCTGTCCGCAGCCCAAGTGGGAAGAAGTTCCGCAGCAAGCCACAGCTGGCACGGTACTTGGGCGGCTCCATGGACCTGGGGGCCTTCGACTTCCGCACAGGCAAGATGCTGATGAGCAAGATGAACAAGAGCCGGCAGCGGGTGCGCTATGACTCCTCCAACCAGGTCAAGGTGAGCTGCCCTGCCTGCTCCACCCAGTCACACTGGAATTTGGTGGTGGGGGGGGGACAATATTTCAGAACCACTGTGATGGGGAACGAGAGCTGGTTCTGTAATCAAGTTTAATTCTCTTGGTGTTGAAATCATAAACATTCTCTGAGGGAAGTTTGGAGGCCACAGAAAAGGAGAAAGGAGAAACTGCTTGTCATTCTGTCCCTTTAGAGGTCCCCAGCTACTTGTGTTACCTGTCGCACTTTCCCTCCCTGCCCAGCATCTTCAACAGCTGCCAGTCCTCGTGGGTGCCCAATGACACTGTGTGTCCTCCAGTCTCTGATGGACACATGTTCAGAGGGACTTTAACCCCTGTCCCTGCCCTGACTGTAGGACAGCTTGCCATGGTGACCCCAGGCTCATGCTTCACAGAGAGTGAGGCACAGGACGCAAAGATGGGGTCAGTGTGCATCCAAAGCCCGACTAAGGGCAGCAAGTAGGCAGGGCTTGGGCTTAACATCACCTCCAGGTTCCTAGGTGCAACGGGGTGTGCTAGTAACTGGGGGACACAGGAGTCAGGCTCCTGGGGGGTCTGGGTGCCAGTGTGCCTGTCTCCACAGGGCAAACCTGACCTGAACACAGCCCTCCCTGTCAGGCAGACAGCATCCATCTTCAAGCAGCCAGTGACCAAGATCACCAACCACCCCAGCAACAAGGTGAAGAGTGACCCCCAGAAGGCTGTGGAGCAGCCCCGGCAGGTGAGCACACATCCCACATGCACACTCAGGACAGGTCAGGCCCAGCCCAAAACTCTCAGTTCCCTCCAAGCTGGGTCCATTCTTGTTATTTAAAACATGCTTAATTTTTAAATTTTTTTTCTTGATGGCTTTCTAGAGAGAGAAAAAGACAGAGAAACATCAATTTGTTGTTCCACTTATTTTATGCATTCATTGGTTAATTCTTGTATGTGTCCTGACCAGGGATCGAACCCACAACCTTGGCTTATCGGGACAGTGCTCTAACCAACTGAGCTACCCCGTAGGGCATCAATTTATTTTTCTTGCATAAAATTATGTGGTGGTCACAGTTGGGAGCCTGGGTCCTCTGCACAGAAACTCTGGTGTAGGTTTTTACAAGATGGTCAGTGAATTCCTGATATATGACTTGGTGAACACAGTCTCTTTACAGAGGCCAGGGGTGAAATAGCTGTAGGTCTTAGAGGTGGCATCAAAGACAGTCTTGGCAAAGTTGCCTAAGGTGGCAGTGCAGCCCCTGCCAAGGTATAGTAGTCATTGATACTGGCCATCATCAACAGCTTCTTTGGTACAGGGGCTGAGATTATGCCAGTGACCCTGGAGACAGGGATGAGGCACACTAGCACAGAGCTACAGTAGCTAGTCATCTTACAGTAGCTAGTCATCTTGCAAGGGATGGTATGGGGCTTGCTGATCTTTTCCTCCCAGTATCCTTGCTGCACAGGGATAATATAGAACTTGGCCAGGGTGATGGCTCCACGGATGGCAGTAGCTACTTTCTTTGAGCACTTAATACCCATATCGATATGTCCATTATAGTCCCCAGTGGTGACAAATGCCTTGAACTGGGTCCTCTGGCCAGCATGTGTCTGCTTTTACATGGGCATAATCTTCAAAACCTCATCCTTGAGGGATGCCCCCAGGAAAAAGTCATTGATCTCAGATTCCTTGATGGGCAGGGGGAAGAGATAGATCTCCTCCAGGGACTTGATTTTCTTTTTTTTTTTTTTTTTTATCCTCATCCGAGGACATTTTTCCATTTTTTGTACAGAGTGGGAGGGAGAGAGAGGAAGAGAGAGAGAGGGAAACATCGATGTGAAAGGGACACATCGAGTGGCTGCCACCCGCACAACCAACCAGGGCCGGGGACAAACTGCAACCGAGGTACATGCCCTTAGCGGGAACTGAACCCGGGTCTCTCCGGACCGCAGGCGGACGCTCTAACCGCTGAGCCAAACCGGCCAGGGCCAGGGACTTGATTTTCATATTCTTGACCTGGCAGCCCAGCTTGGTGACAGGGATCTATGCCTTTTCCTTGGCCTTGTCTCCATGAGCTCCATGGCCTTGGCCACAGATACCACTGCCAAATTCTTCACAGAAGCCCCCTTGGCCTTCCATTCCAGGGCCCCCAGGCCCTCCCATGGCACTGGCGTCATCCGCCATTTAGTTTTGCTCAGAGAAGAACCTCAGTCCACTCTTCAGAGCCTACACTCATGGGTTCCTTAGCCCAGGTGCCAGTCAGGAACAGTCAACTCAGAACTTAGTTCTGTGGGGAGCAAAGCCCCGCTCTGGCCCCGCCCACCACACAGAGGGCTGCTGGGGCACTTGGGGCTTTTTCTGGCCGATGTTTTCTTGACTAAGTGGTTAAGTTTTGTATGGGGTTGTTTTAAATAAGATCATACATATACGGCTTTATAACCTGCTTTGCAAAAACCGAGAATTACCCGTGTTTTCATACGAATTTACAAACTCCCAAACACTGTATGCATAATGGGGTGTGCAGGATAGTCCTTTGGGACCAATAACCCATCAACATTGATGGTACATTTAACATCCTGGGTCTTCATCCTGCCAAAAATAGGAGTTGGTGTTTCTCTGCTCTGGGAGGACAAGCTTGGGTTTGGATCCCACTGGGTCTAGGGCAGGAACATGCCCCTCGGGCCATGGCACCCTCATTTCTCAAGCTGGGACACCAGCAGCTCAGCCAGAGTTGGGGTTAGAGTCATGCTGAGACCACTGTACTGTATGTGGACAGGCTTCAGCCATCATCCAGATTGCTGTGGTTCACCTGGATGTGGGGGTGCCTGGCTGTCTTATCAGCCTCACATCTGTCTTTCTGGTCGTAGCTCTTCTGGGAGAAGAAGCTGAGTGGCCTGAACGCCTTTGATATTGCAGAGGAGCTTGTGAAAACCATGGACCTCCCCAAGGGCCTGCAAGGTAGCTCCAAGCCCCAGGACAGGTGGGGAGAAGTTAGGAGGAGGGGCCAGGCCTGCCGGGTCCCTTCAACCTCCAGCCTTGGATCAGAGGGGCAGTCACCTGGTTCCTGGTCCTGAAGACAGCTACCCAGAGCAGAACACAGGTTGGAGGAAGGCACTGTACCAGTAGGATGCATCTGTCCTGGAGGGTCCTGGAAGTATTCGGGTTGTGATTTTGCTCCTACACTATAAACACAGCCACCCATCCCTGAGCATGTAGAATAAGGGGGTTTGGGAACAATATCTGAGGCTGAGGGACAAAGGCTGGTGCCTGGTGGTGACTGTCCCTCCTGCACCCCTGCAGGAGTGGGACCCGGCTGCACAGACGAGACCCTACTCTCAGCCATCGCCAGCGCCCTGCACACCAGCACCATGCCCATCACTGGGCAGCTCTCAGCTGCCGTGGAGAAGAACCCTGGGGTATGGCTCAACACAGCCCAGCCCCTCTGCAAGGCCTTCATGGTAACCGACGAGGACATCAGGTAGCTACCCTCCCATTCCGCCCTCTGGCTTGTGGCTGGTGTGTCTTCGAACCGTCAGGGGTATGAGGCCTTTGAGGGACCTACTAAAGGGTGGGGTACTGGCTGTGTGTAGCACAGAGAAGGAAGATCTAGAGCAACAGTTCTCAACCTGTGGTTTGCGACCCCTTTGGGGGTCAAATGACCTTTTCACAGGTCGCCTAAGACCATCAGAAAACACGTATTTCCAATGGTCTTAAGAACCGAGACACCGCTCTTCTATCCATCTCCAGGCAGATAGGCCCACATGCAGATACGCCCACATACAATATGAGGGATTAGGCATTGAAGTGTCACGGCATTAGGAAAAGTTGAGAACCACTGCTCTACAGTGTGGCAGGAAGTACTGAGTGAGAGGTGAAGATAGACACGTCCTGGGGCCTGAGTGCGAGGTCTGAGTTGGTAGTGCTCAGGTACACATGGACTCTGAGAAGTGTCCATTTGCTGGAATCTTCTGGGAAGACCTGGTAAAGAGGTGATTTGAACTGGCATTGAGCAGAAAACATCTACAAGTGCTGAAAGGATAAAATGCATCCTTTAAAATGTCAGTGCACAGCTGAGGTCAAAAGAAGTTAAGAATTCTAAGGATCCCCGCCCCCGACAAAGAAGGGACTGGAAACCAGAGTAGGCATGGCCTGAGTGGTGTATCAGGTGGGATTGTGGGTTTGTAGGCTTCCTGTCTCAGGAATTGGGGTTTCAAAACTTCGTGGGTATGAGAGAGAAACCCCTATGCTCCATGTAAGGTGAGGACACGGAACTAAAACACTACATTACCACCCCCAACTCCCTCACGCCAGAGAGTCTGTCCAAGGAAAAGGGCAAGAGAGGGAATTAGAAGTATAAGAAAAGAACACAACTCCAAAAAGAATAGAAGGATTTTATTACTATTTTTGTTGTTGTTAATCCTCACCCGAAGATAATTTTCCATTAATTTTTAGATAGAGTGGAGGAGTAGGGAGAGAAGTGTCTATGTGAGAGAGACATCAGTTGGTTGCCTCCCGCAGGACCCCGACTGGGGCCAAGGATCAAACCTGCAACCCAGCCACGTGCCCTTGACCAGAATTGAACCTGCAATCATTCAGTCCAAGGGCCAAGGCTCTAACCATTGAGCAAAACCCCAGGGTGGATTTTTAAAACTAAGCAGAACTTGCCCTAGCCAGTTTGGCTCAGCAGTTAGAGCGTCGGTCGGCCTGTGGGCCAGAGACCTGGGTTTGGTTCCCACTAAGGGTACGTACCTTGGTTGCAGTTTGTTCCCAGCCCTGATTGAGTCATGCAGGTGGCAACCACTCGATGTGTCCCTTTCACGTCGATGTTTCTCTCTCTCCCTCTCTCTCTCTCTCCCTCCCTCCCACTCTATCTAAACAAACCAAAAAAAAAAAAAAAAAATGTCGGGTGAGGATAAAAAAAGCTAAGCAGAACTACAATTAGAAGTCACTAAAATGAAAAACTTGAGTCACAGGTTAGACAGTGGATTTGGTCCTGTCTGGAGAAGAGATGTGCAGAGAAGAAGATGTGTAAGGAGAAAAGACCCCACACACACAGGGCCAACATTTACCATACCTGCTGACAAACACTAATGTTGAATTCATGTTACAGAGAAGATAAGATGCAGAACTTGAGACAAGGGGTTGTTTGTTTTTTTCTTTTATTGATTTTTAGAGAGAGAGGAAGTGAGAGGGAGAGACAGAAACATCGATGAGAGAACATCGATTGGCTGTCTCCTGCATGCCCCCCACTGGGGATCAGGCCCACAAGCTAGGCATGTGTCCTGACCGCGAATCGAACTGGCGACCTCTTGGTACATGGGTTGATGTTGAACCACAGCCACACCGACTGGACTCTTTTTTTTTTTAATCCTCACCCTGAGGATATTTTCCCATGTATTTTCAGACAGAGTAAGAGAGAGAGAGAGAGACATCAGTTCGAGAGAGAGACATTGATCAGTTGCCTCCCACACGATCCTGACCAGGGTGGGGAACTGAACTGCAACTGAGGTATGTGCCCTTGACCAGAATCGAACCTGAGCCAAACCGGCCAGGACTGTTTTTTTCTTAAACTTTTTCTTCTTTATTGATTTTAGAGAGAGGAAGGGGGGGAGAAACATCAATGAGAGAGAGCATCAATTGGCCACCTCCTGCACGCTCCCCCCCCCCCCCCTTGCTGGGGATTTGGCTCACAAACTGGGCATATGCCTGACTGGGAATCAAACTGGTGACCTCTTGGAGCATGGGTCAGTGCTCAAACACTGAGCCACACCGGCCGGGCAAGGGGAAGATCTTATTTATTTATTTATTTTTAATCCTCACCCAAGGATATTTTTACATTTATCTGAAGACAAAGTGAGAGGGAGAGAGAGAGAAACATCAGTGAGAGAGACGCTTCGATTGGTTGCCACCCGCACGACCCCAACTGGGGCCGGGGACGAACCGCAATCGTGATACTCTTTGGTCCGCGAGCTGACGCTCAAACCACTGAGAAAACTGGCCTGGGCCAAGAGGAGTATCTTAAATGCCACAGTGAGGGGAGGCAGATGGGCAAGCAGACCAGGGTACAGCTGCTACTTTGCCACGATAACAGAAGCCAAAAGATAGAGAACACCATTCCCCACTTAGAGTTTTCTCTCGGCAAACCTTGTTATCCACAAGACAAGTGACACGCTGGCTAGACAGTGGACTGGACGCTCTTGTCTTTTTTCCCCTTTGCAAACCCCACTCAAGTGATAGCAAAAGAGCTCACACATGTGCACTAGACCGAAAGAGCCAAGCAGACAGGTGGTCACCCATCCTGGGAGGGGGAAAGCCACTAGGCAGACCAGAAATGGTGGGAGTAGTGTCTGCCAGGTGGTGGGGAGAGAAGGTAGTCACAGGAGGGAGTGAGGAGGCCAGTGGAACAGGAGTCGAATGTCTGTCTGAGCACTTGGAACCCCAGGGCTCAGCCTCCCAGAAGGTGGAGTATTCCATCTGGAAAGCTGAGTCACAGCCACTTAGGAAGGGAGTGTGAGCCACAGGCCAGGGCTAGAGGACCCTTGGGCCCCCCAAATCACCAGCCCATATATGTCTGTGCATCCATCCCCCTGGCCTCGCACCCTGGTCTTCCTGGAGACAGGGACATGCCCTGCCAGCGCTCCGTGTGTCCCCAGGAAGCAGGAGGAGCTGGTACAGCAGGTCCGCAAGCGGCTGGAAGAGGCACTGATGGCTGACATGCTGGCCCACGTGGAAGAGCTGGCCCGAGATGGTGAAGCACCACTGGACAAGCCGGGCACCGAAGAAGAGGTGGAGGATGAAGAGGATGAGGAGGATGAGCCTGACCAAGACCAGGAAATGGAGCATGTGTAGCGCGGGTGTGGGTGGACCCCAGGCCACAGCTTGCACTTGGGAAGTGACCACAGGGTGGAGAGACGATCCAAGGGTCCTTGCGACATGTTCCACACTGGGTGTCAGCTGTGCTGGGAGAGCACCTATCTCCCTGGAGGAGCCCAGGGTGGCCTGGTTCTCCATGTCTTTACAGAGGCCCTGCCCAAGCCCTGCCTGTGTGGGGCACCTACAGACTCAGCCCTTGCCTTGATGGGACCAGGCTTGGGAGGAAGGTGGTTCCCCCATCCCTTCTCAGGCATGTCTACTTCCCTAGGCCACTGGAACACCTGGGGTCATGGCTGGAGAGTGGTCCCCTGCCTGGTGAACCCCACACTTGTACTTTGAAGGGCCAGGCTTCCGGAAGTGTTGGTTGTTCCTGGGCCCCACCTGCAGGGGGCTGTCTCTCTGGGTCATGGCTTCTGGATGCAGTTGTCTCTGGACTCACTGTTGCTGCCCTGAGCTTCTGGACAGAACAGCTGCTCCTGGGCAGCATGCGGGGTTCTAATGGGGTCAGAGAAAGGTTCCTGAAACAGTCTTGCTTCCTGATCTTGAGTGTGAGGGACAATCCTCTGGGCCAGTCTGTCAGCCCTCCCAGAAAGGGTTGCAGGGTGGTTCCCTAAGTGCCCACCCAGCTGGGCAAAGCCTTGACACTCGTAGCGTGTCTGAAAGAGCGGCACAACCTAGACATTTTCTTCAATAAATTGGTGGTACAAACTAGGCTGGATGTCCCATAATTGCTTTATCTTTTGTGTTTGCTGCACGTGGATGTGAAATCTGTACTTCAAATCTGAAGACCTTATTGTCTGCTGCTTGGTGGACACTGCCTAAGGGTCAGCTACCAACTGAGGAGGACTGCTCACAGCCAGGAGCACCTATGTACAATGACCTATGTGCCTCAGTTTCCCCTTGCATAACAGGTACAGTTAATAGCCAGCACTCTAGTCTGTGGGTTTTCATGTGGCCTGGCTGGAATTGCCACTGAGGCCCAGGTACTATGTGTTCTATCCAGAGGTGCATTTCATGGCCAAGCATTTCCAAGTGCTACCCCCAGGACAGTGGCCTCCAGGGAGCATTAAGGACAGAGGTCATCAGAATCCTGTTATTTTCACCCATCCTCTGTAGCCCCAGTGCCTAGGGAGAGGGGTGCCACCTTGTGCCCACTCTGCCCCAACCAGCATCTTATGATGGTCAGCAAGGACCCTAATTGCTGAATCATTTAGCCAGACACCGTGGGCAATCCAGGCTACATGTGGGCATGCAGGTCAAGGGTGAGGGCTGACATGGGAGCCCCTCAGAGCTGTGTGGGGTTGCTGCTAGTTCCATCTTCCAAGGATGCTTGTGCAACAAAATTGACCACATCCTTCCAAGTCAAGGTGAAGCACAAATCCTGAGAACCATGAAGGCTGACTGAGAGTTCCATGGGCCTTGCTCTGTATAAGTCCTGGTGCCAGGGCTGAAGGAGCCAGGAAGGCCACAGCCTCCTGGGAGGGAAAGCCCTCCCTAAAGTGGGGGTGGGGGAGTCGACAAGTACTAGCCCCTGTGAGTAACAGCTGAATAAAGCCATCTTGGGTGAGCATGGTTGGAGCCTGGGTTCAATATGAAGAATGTCAGCAATGTGGGCCTCACCTAGGCCCCCAGGCCTGCATCCTGTGGATCATCCATCCTAGGCTAGGTAATAACAGAATCAGGATGGGCTGACCTGTTCCAGGGGATAGCAGATTTCCCTGTGGACCCCAAGGTGCAGGCCTTCTGACAGTGACAGTCAGGTCACAGCATGTTAGCATAAAACCAGGTGTGGAGGCTTCCAAAAGATTTGGGGCTCCTGTACCTGCTGGGTGGAATCCCTGAGACTCGCTTGGAGCACCTGAAGCTCCCAGTGTGGGTGTGTATTGAGGGGGCTCTTCAGGGTTGGGCACACAGGGACCTGAACTGGTCCTTCTGCCCCTGGCAGGCTCCCAAGGGAATCCTGCAGCTCTAGACTAGCACTAACAGGTCAAGTGGCCATTGCTAGCCTCTCTCCAAACCTAAAGGTTGATGTGAGAGGTGGGGGAACCCTGATCCCTCACCTGTTCGGCCCCCCAGGTGCTCTGTTCCCCATCCCACTAGTCAGGGCTTGGTGTCCTGCCCCCCCCCCCAACCCCACACAGAGACATGGAGTCTCTGTTCATCTCTCACCCCAGCAGCCCCCCACATGCCTTCTCTTACTCTGCAGTCAGCCCTCCTCAACCACTAGAACTGGCTCCAGCTTCAGAGGGAAAACAGGCTCAGGTTATCAACTTGCCTAGGGGCACCATTTAGAAAGGAGTTGGGCCTGCCTAAAAACTTGGGTCTTCATGTCTCCAGCACCGTGTAGTTGACCATGCCCAGTTTCTGGCCACTGAGAGAAGCCCTAAGCAGCCACTGACCTCGAGACTTCAGAACGTAGAACGGGCCTGGGTCCCAGTGCCTCGGTGGTTCTGCATGAGAGTGGAATGCCCCAGCCCCACAATAGGGCCTCCCACACCACAGCCCTCTCTGTCACTGAGCCACCTTTCCAAGCTCAAGGGTCCCTCCTGAATTCCTTTCTCCCAAGTGAGACCCCCAGAAGCATGGGTGTCAGGGTTTCTAAGCCAACAATTTAGGGGATCTGTACCATGGAACCTAAGCCACCCCTATGTCTCTATTATGTGCCTGGCTACTTCCAGCCCAAGGTAGGCAGAGGAGCTTTCTGAACCACCGTGCACCCCTACTGGTCAGCCTGCCTGAAATGCCTACTTACTTGTGTGAGCCTCTTGTGGCTGTTGGAACAAATCACCATAAATTTTGTGGCTTGAACCACACACATTTATTCTGGGGTCAGGAGTCAGACATGGGCTTCACCGGGCTAAACCCAAGTGTGGGCAGGGCTGGGCCATCTGGGGGCTCTAGTGGAGAAATGTTTCCCATCCTTTCCAGCTTCTAGAGGTGCTACATCCCTGGCCCATGGCCCCTTCCTCTAAACAGCCAGAAGCACAGCACCTTCCATCTTTGACTCTGACCCTCCTTGTCTCCCTCTTTTGAGGACCCTGTGCTGACATTGGGCCCCCTGGAGAAAGCCAAGGTCACACCATCTCAGGGGCCTTGACTTAATCCCATCTGCAAAGTCCCTTTACCAAGTGAGGATGACTGTCTTTGGGGGGCCACTTTTCAGCCTACCACAGAAGATACACCCCCCATTCAACCTCCTTCATCTCTGTCCCACCTTGGAACCTGGACAGCAATCATAGCCTCTGAGTCTGAGGGAACAGTTTGAACCCTGGGAGTAAAGGATCTCCAACTTCCTCGGTCATTTACTCAACATGCATTTATAGCAGGGCCAGCTCAGACCTGGTGCCCCAAGAGAAGAGGGTGGGCTAGATGTGGCCTGGGAGTCAGGAAAAACATTTTAGGGTGGGGAAGGGTCAGGCACAGGGACCAAGGCAGGGGAGTGAGAGCTTTTTTTTTTTTTAACTCTTCACCTGAGGATATGTTTTTACTGATTTTACTTTATTTATTAAAATTTTTTTCTTTTATTGATTTTAGAGAGGTGAGAGGGAGAGACAGAAACATCGATGAGAACACGGTTTGGCTGCCTCCTGCATGCCCCCCACTGGGGATCGGGTCCACAACTGGGCATGTGTCCTGACCCAGAATCGAACTGGCAACCTCTTGGTGCATGGGTTGATGCTCAACCACTGAGCCACACTGGTTGGGCTGTTTTTATTGATTTTAGAGAGAGAGGAAAGGAGACCAAGAGACAGAAACGTCAATGGGTTGCCTCAGTATATACTCCGACCTGGGATAGAACCCACAACCTAGGTATGTGCCCTGACTGGAATTGAACCCCCTGACCCTTTAGCGCAGTGGACAGCTCTAACCACACTGGCCAGGACAGGAGTAATGGCATTAATTGGCAGAGGAATATCTGCCAGGGAAGACAGTAGGTGCAGAGAAGTGACTGGAGGTGAACTGTCCAGCCATGCACCGCTTTGGCTGAGGAACTACATAGTGGGGATTGGGGAAAGACCTAAAACCTGTGAGGGTAGTGGTGGACACGAGAGGAGGGGCCTGTGCGTGGCAAAAGGAGTCAGGTCACCCCCTTTCTCACCTGAAAAGCTCATGCATTTGTCCTTAAGTTCCACAACCAACCAGGGACCTAGTAGAGGTCCCTTTTAAGACTTGGACGGGTGACCCCATGGTATCCATTCTGCTCCTTGCCCACTTATGAGAAACCCCCTTGGAAAACCGGAGGGCTCCTTCATTCGAAAGGTGTAAGGAAGCTGGGGGAATGGCCGCGAGGAGAGGGTGGCTTTGAAACTGGGTACGCTGGGCTGCTCTGGGTGCCCACAGGGCAAGGTGAGGCACCCCAGAGAAGAGAGAATCTTCACCTCCGTGGGCTCTGGCGGGTGGAAACCAGCCCAAACCCGGAAGCACCGCCCACGTGGCGCAATGTCGGGCTCTCGCACGCTCTGTGCTGGGCGATGTTGGTGCCCTTGACCTCCTCAGGGGCCCACGGGCACTATGTACGTACAGGAACCAGGGATTAGAGTCCCAGAACGGCCAGGTCGCAAGAAGTCTTAGGGGTAGTGACCCCGGCCCTAGGGCGGGGACAGGGGCAAAGTGCCTTGGGGCACAGAAGGGCCCCTGGCAAAGAGAAGGCGGGAACTCTCCGGCCCCGGGGCGCCGCAGGCACCTACCTGGGGCAGCGCCAGCACCTGCAAGAGCGCTGGACCCGCCTGAGCGCCCCGGGCGAGGGTGTCCGGCGTCCATGTGATCGCGCCCCGCCCCGCCCCACCCCGCCTCGCCCCGCGCGTGCGCCTTACCCCGCGCCCCATTGTTGGCAGCGCACGCGTCACGGGGGCGGGGCCGGGGCGGGGCGGGCGGCTGGAGGGAGGGCGGCGGGAGGGAAGGAGCGTCCGCGCCGCCGCCGCCGCCGCCGCCGAGAGCCCAGCCGCCGCCGCCGCCGCCTAGAGCGAGCAGAGTCGCGCCGCCGCCGCGCCTCCCGCGGCCCCGAGAAGCCCCGCGCCGCCGCGCCCCCGCCGCTCCCGCCCCGCCGCTGGATGCCGGCGGCCGGCGGCCGAGCTCTCAGAGGCGGAGGGCGGCGGCGCGGGCGGCGGCGGCGCGGGCGGCCGGCGGCCCAGAGACAGGGGCGCGGGCCCGAGCGCTAGCGCCATGTCCGGCTCCATCGGCCAGCCCGACGGCAGCGGGGGCGCGGGCGGCAGCGGGCCCGGGGCGGCGGCCTGCGGGGACCCCAGCCCGGGTGCCCCGCCGCCGCCCGCGCCTGAGGCCGCCGAGGAGGCCGCTCCCGCGCCCCGGCCGCCGCCCGAGCCCGACGACGCGGCCACCGCGCTGCGCCTGGCACTGAACCAGCTCTCGGTGCTGGGGCTGGGGGGCGCGGGCAACCAAGATGACGAGGGAGCAGCCGCGGGCGGCGGGGATGGCGTGGCGGCGACTGCACGGGGCGCGGACGGTGGGACCGCAGTGGAGCCTACGCCCCCCGACGGGCCCGAGGCGGGCGCGCCCGTGGTGGCCGTGACCCCGGGCCCTCTGCCGCTTCTGGATCCCGACGTGAGCCCCCCGCCGCCGCCGCCGCCCCGGCCTTCGCCGCCCGATGTGTTCGCGGGCTTCACGCCCCACCCCGCGGCCCTGGGCCCCCCGACGCTGCTGGCCGAGCAGATGAGCGTGATTGGCAGCCGCAAAAAGAGCGTGAACATGACCGAGTGCGTGCCGGTACCCAGCTCGGAGCACGTCGCTGAGATCGTGGGTCGCCAGGGTGAGTGGCCGCCGTCGGGGGCGCAGCCTCGGGGGTCCCTGCGCCGCTGCTCCGGAGACAGGGCCGCCCCAGCCCAGGCCGCGGCTGCACGCCAGTCCCAGGCCACGCCCCGCGTGGGCTTTGGCCTCAGTGGCCGCCTGTGCCTTTGTCCTGCCTTCGGCCGCGAGAGAAAGTTGGGCGCAGCCCGCGCTCCTCCCCACCGCGCTTCGGCCCCGCCGTTGCCTTTGTCTAGGCGCCTCCAGCCCGGAAGGGCCCCTGTGTGCAGCGCCGCTACCATGCTCTGGGCTGTGCCATCCTGGGGACCAGGGGCCCGGCCGGGTGGTGGGCACCCCACATTCAAAGCAGGCATGGGGCGGGCCAACTCGGTTTGGGGGGTTGGGGGCACTCAGGCAGGGTGATGAGAGAAGTTTGGCCACACAAAGAGGATACATCATGACTTGCCAGCCTGGGGACCCTGCTGGGGCCGGGGAGGGATAGGACAGCTTGAGAGAGGGTCCCACCCTATTCTCAGTGTGGTCAGTAATTTGGGGGCATGTGGAAGGACCAGTTTTAAAAGTGACTCTTGGGGTCCGACCCCATGGCCCTAGCCTGGCAGGCAGGTGGGCAACAGGCCAGAGACGTAGGGGTCTCTTTAGTGGCATTGCCTAGCATCCCTGTGGCCGCCCCATTGTTCTCTTTGTTAGAGAGCCAGGCTGAGATTTGCAGGGTGACATCAGGCTGGCCGCCGCTCATTGGCCCTGGAGCTGTGGGGCGGGCAGAGGGTGGTGGGCAGTGCCCACATACCCACCCACCCTGTTAGCTGCCTGCCCACTGGTCTAAACTTTCTCCTGCCCTCCTGCCCTCCCACCCTCCTGCTGGCCTCCTGTGGTCAGCCAGATTCTAGAACTTGGGGTGGGGCCTGGGTGGGGCTTCAGGTAGAGCCAAAGAACACTCAGGCTGGGAGGGGTCCCAGCCTCTGGGCCCTGGGGTGGGGGTGGGGGTAGGGTGGCCTGAATTATAAGGTGACCTGTCATCCTTACCACTGCCACAAGCAGAGGACAATAGGGATGCTCTGGACACAGTCCTCTGCTAGTTCCGGGTGGGTGGGGTGACTTGGCCAGCAAGCCCTCTGGTCATTCATTTGTCCTTTCTCCATGTGGACACAAGGAGGGCCCAGCATCATGCCTGGGACCCACCATCAGAAGTGAGAGTGAGGAAGGAGGACAGGTTGCTCTCTGAGCCCTGCTGGCTGTCTCCAGGGGCAGGCATAACTAGACCCATGCCAGACAGTTCTGCTTTACCACCCTGTTGCCACCTTCCTATATAAGCCTCCCATTTCCCCACCCCTGTCCCCCATAACTGCACTGGACACCTAAGAAGTAGTTCTCATGTATTGAGTGTTTAGAAGCCTGCAGGTGGGCAAGTGTGGATACCTATGCCTGGGGGGGCCATTTGCCTGAAATCACTAGGCTGATCTGTTGTGCAGTGGAGCATTGAGGGTGTGTTCTGTGTGAATATGCGAGTCCTGGCACCTGAGGGACCTTCCAGAGAGGCCTTGTCTTATGTCTTACAAATGGTGATGGGAGTTAGGCAGAGGGCATAAGAACCTGTAGCCTCAGGCTGAATGGTGTGAAGGAGTGAGCCTGGGGCCTCAGGCTCCACGGGGCCTCAGGCTCCACCCGACCTCCTGGGTTTGCATTTGTCACCTGGTTGTTGGGTGCCAGCCTCTATTCTTGGTGGTTGTGGACAGCAAAACAGACTTGAAGCAGTATGGTATGCCCTGCAGACTGGGGTAGTCCTGTGACCCTGAGCACATGAGAGCCCCTTCTATAATGGGATGGGGCAGCACCTCCCTCAGAGTTTTTGTGTGGATTCTTAAAACACTGGTTCTAACCGCAGGCTGGTACCCAGTAGCCACCCCACAAGTAGGGTATAGGGTACAGGGGGGAGAGCATGGATACCAGGATGGGTCACATTGCCCCCGTTCCAGGACCATCTGTGGCTCCCATCCTCTCCCACCCAGTTCTCAAGCATACCCTGCAAGACTACCTCAGCCCCACTCCTTTCCCTTTTCCCATCACCCACCCCACTCCCCATCCTGTGGGTCCCTGGATACCAAGCCTGCCCCTTCTTACTGCTCAGGCTCTCCCCAGTTCAGGGGGCATAGCCTGCCCTCAGTTACTCATTTTTTTCTGTCAAATCTCAGGTCTAGGGCTGCCCCTCCCCCAAGAAGGCACAGGAAAGAGACTTCAAGAGACGATGAGGCAGGTTTGGGATTTGAACCCTGGTCTCATTGGCTCTGCCTGCCCTGTAGGGAGCAGGGTTGGGAGAGGGGTGGTGGGAGGCAGTGCCATTCTACAGAGAGGAAAAGTGGGGCCTCCAAAAGAACAAGGAATGAACCTCTCCCTCCATCCTGTCAGTGCAAGCCAACTGGGAGAGCTGGTTCACATTGGCTGTGGGGGAGACCTTGGGCTCATGCCTTCTCCCCTGCCATCCATGCCCTGTACCCAGAGCAAGTCTGTGTCCATGTCTTTACCAGGGCTGGGCTTGGTCATGTTGGGTCTTTAGCACCATGCACAGCACATTGCCTGCTTCACCATCAGGAACAAGTAAATGAATGATGCTGAAGGCAAGGCTTGGACTGGCAGCCCCCCCCAGGTTTCCCATCTCAGATCAGGCTGAGGATGGTGGCCTGGGACCCTCCCCCATTGTCTGTTCTCTGTCCCCCTGCCCCCGGGCCTGGCCCCAACCCTGCAGGCATCAGGTGTTCTTTCTGGCAGCCAGGGACACTGCGGGGGTATTGGGGTACATGGCTTGGTGTTCCTGTCCACTGTGGGGCATAGAAAAAAAGAGGTGCCCATGCTTGGGTTGGGGGCTCCTTGTATTGGCAGTTGTAGACCTACCCTGCCTGTGGGGAGCTTTCCATGTTCCTATGACCAACTAGCTTACCCCCAGACCACCCTACTGTGACATGGCCCACTCAGGACTATAGCCTTCTTTACCCCTGCTTGATTGTGGGAAATTGTCCTAGCCCTGTCCTGCTTCCAGAGCTCTGCCCCCGCTGTTCCCTCTGCTGAAGCGCTCCTCTGCCTGCATCCTCCTTTCCCTCACAGCCTTGAGGTTTTGTTAAGTGTAACCTGTAATCGCCCATGGGGCCTGGTTCTCTGAGTGCCCAGCACATGGGTATGGCCAGGACCCCATAATGAGACATATGAGTGAAGGCAAAAGGCTGCCCTCATCTACTAGACTATCCTGGAGACCCTCAGCCTCCCCAGTTTGAGGGGAGAGTCTGGCTGTAGTGCAGTCGGGATTTCTAGGGCCTGAGGCAGGACATTCCCAAGCACACCCTGCTCTCTGTGTTGGCATCCTGGGGGAAATGCCCAGGAATCTGCATTTCAGCCTTTGCCCACCTATGAATGGTGACCCCTAGAGTTCCCCAGCCATGGGGCTCAGCCCCTTATCACCACACATTCTTGCTGCACTCTATCATCACCACTGGGGCAGGAAATATGGCCTAGGTCACTGGATCCTCGATTTCCTGGACTGGGCAATCCCACCCTCCCAAGCTCTGACCCCTCTCAGGGTCTTGACATGGGTTGGGTTTGGGGGCCAACAGGTGTCACAGCTGAAGTGAAGTCAGTAAATTGGGCTCCTGGCCACTAAGGGCTCCACCCAGGGCCACCCAAGGGGACGTTGCATGGTCCCTCCCCTGCCCTGGCGCACCTGAGGGGCTCATTGGGCTTGGGATCAAGGCCCACTTCATCTGTACAAAGGATCAGTGGGGGGAGGGGGTCATCAGTTGTTTGCACCTCCTTTGACAAGTCCCCTGCCCTTTCTTCAGGCCTTGCTTGCTTCCCTCTCCTTGCGTGGTTCTGCTAGAAGCAAATATTTCAGGGCATGTTGTCTGTCTGGGGCTTTGGCCCTTTGGGTCTGGCCCCAAAGCTGTGAGGCTGGGTGTTTCAGCCCTCCTTTTATGGGTAATGAAATTAAAGCACAAGACAGTTTCCTCAGGGGCCCAGGGCAATCTGCAGTTTACTAGCCCTTAGAACAGTCCCCTGGCCAAAAGGAGTTCAGACAGTCAAATGTGGTGTCAGGATAAACTCTGGAAGTGTGTGCTGGGGCCTGGCCCAGTCAGGGTGGGCTTCCCAGAGGAGGGAGTGCTAGGCTGCAATATGATGCAGAGAAGGGCAAGGACTGGGGGTGATAGTGGTGAGGACAGTGTTTTGAGTGGGAAAGGTCATGTGGAGAAGACAGCATGGCCAGGGCAGGGGGAGTTTGCCAGGTAGGGAGGGGACCATCGAGGCAGGCATGGAGGCAGCCACAGGTCAGTGTGGGGTAGATTTGGGGGCCCCGGGTTGGTTTAGAGGTTGGCATTGAGGCGACACAGCTGAGGGGACAGAGTGGCTAAAGACCCAGGAGGTGGGGTTTGGAGATGGTAAGAAGGAAGCCCCTCCCCTGGAGATTTCTGACCTTGATTCACATGCCCTGCTTTTGCTCAAAGTCCTGGTTGGGGAACTATTATATATTCCTTGGGATCAGGGTAAGGCTGCCCCTGGACGCCCCCTGCCACCTCCAGGATGAGCAGTCCCCTGGCCTAGGCAGCCTCTCATTGATTTCTTCCTGGGTAGATGTTGAACTTGCCAATTTTGTATCTTTTGCTATTGTTAAATTAGCAACACAGTTACTCCTCTCTCAATACCACCTCTGTGTTGACACAATATCCCTGTGTCCCTCTAGCCTCCCCAGAGCCTGGACTCAAGATGTCTCAAAAGGCCCTGGGGAGGGGTATCAGAGACCTGAGTAGGCACCCCTATCACAGACCCTGAACAACTGACCCCACCCCTCCACAGGGTGGGACCCCAGCCCAGACAGGATGAAGCCATAGTGCCATGTCTGCAAGTATCCCTGAGCATCCCTCACAGGCTGGCATCACCAGGCCTGAGATGTTCTGAATTCAGGCCCAGGAGCCTACATTGGGCTGAGTGAGACCTCAGCTTCCCTTGGACTGGGAGGGTCACTTGGTCAGAAGAAAATCATAGGCAGCTTGCACAATCTGAGCCTTTGTTTTCACATCTGTCAAATGGGGAGTTGGTGTTAGAGGGTCTGCATTCGAGTCCTCGGGCTGACACAATCAACTGTGAATAGCTTGAAACAATACACATTCTCAGTTCCGGAAGCTGGAAATCTGAAATCAAGGTGTTGGCAGGGTTGTGCTCCCTCCAGAGGCTCTAGGGGACAGTCTGTCCCATGCTCTCTCTCCCAGCTTCTGGTGGCTGCCAGCAGTGCTTGGTGTCCCTTGGCTTGTAGCCACATCACTGCAACTCCTGCCTCTCTTGTCACATGGCCATCTCCTCTATGTGTCCCTCCTCTTGTATTCAGGGCCCACCCTACCCCAGTGTGACCTCATCTTAACTAATCACATCTGTAGAGGTCCTATTTCTAAATTAAGAGCTCATTCTGATGTTCTGGGTGAACATTAATTTTGCGGGGCACTATTCAACCCACAACAGAGTCCTTACCTTCTTGCTTTTTTGGCAACCCCAGGGGCGCCCTGTACCAGAGGGGAAACTGAGGTCCCAGGGTTAGAGATTAAATCCCATAGGGGTACAGTCCATAGGTGGAGGCTCTGAACTGTCTGGCCCATTCAGCAGCTGCTGGGGAAGGCCTGTCCTGGGGAGGAGTCCCAGTCCTCACCATATTGTACCCCCTTCCTCTCCCAGGGTGCAAAATCAAGGCTCTGCGCGCCAAGACGAACACGTACATCAAGACGCCAGTGCGTGGAGAAGAGCCTGTCTTCATCGTGACTGGCCGACAGGAAGACGTGGAGATGGCCAAGCGTGAGATCCTGTCTGCTGCCGAGCACTTCTCTGTGATCCGTGCTACCCGCAGCAAGGCAGGTGGGCTGCCTGGCACCCCGCAGGGCCCGCCCAACCTGCCAGGACAGACCACTATTCAGGTGCGCGTGCCCTACCGCGTGGTGGGTCTGGTAGTGGGGCCCAAGGGTGCCACCATAAAGCGCATCCAGCAGCGGACGCATACATACATCGTGACGCCTGGGCGCGACAAGGAGCCAGTGTTCGCAGTGACAGGAATGCCTGAGAACGTGGACCGGGCCCGCGAGGAGATCGAGGCGCACATCACGCTGCGCACTGGCGCCTTCACTGACGCCGGCCCTGACAGTGACTTCCACGCCAACGGCACCGATGTATGCCTGGACCTGCTCGGGGCAGCTGCAGGCCTCTGGGCCAAGGCCCCCAACCCTGGGCGGCGGCCCCCCTTGCCTACCGCCAGCCTCCGTGGGGACAGTGCCCTGGGCGCCCCAGGAGGCCCTGAGGCTTTCTACCCTAGCAGCCGCGGAGGACCACCAGTGCCAGACGCGGGCCCTGCCAGCCCCTATGGCGGTTCAGGCAACGGGGGCTTCACCTTCGGAGGTGATGGCCCTGGTGCCCCCACGGGGCCACCTGCCCCTGAGGACTGCGACTTCGGCTTCGACTTCCTGGCGCTGGACTTGACAGTGCCTGCAGCAGCCACCATCTGGGCCCCTTTTGAGCGCGCTGCACCGGTGCCAGCCTTTAGCAGCTGTTCTGCTGTCAACGGGGCCCCTGCGCCACCTGCCCCAGGTGTCCGTCGCAGCAGCGGGGCTGGTACCCCGCGACACTCCCCCACGCTACCTGAACCTGGTGGCCTGGCCCTGGAGCTCCCACTCGCTCGCCGCGGCCCCCCTGACCCAGTGGGTGCCCTGCCCTGGCGGCCCCCACAGGGCACCCTGTCATCTTTCTCAAGTAGCAGCAGTTTCTCCACGGCCACCTCGCTGCCCAGCAGCTCCTCAGCCTCTTCATGTTCCCCCTTGGACTCCAGCGCCTCCGAAAGCAGCCGCAAACCCTCGGCCTCAGTGTCCTCCGGGTCCGCGGCCCCTGTAGCCTCTGCTACCCCTGGCCCGGTCCTGGTGCGGGAGTGCGTGGTGTGTGCCGAGGGAGAGGTAATGGCTGCGCTAGTGCCCTGTGGCCACAACCTCTTTTGCATGGACTGCGCTGTGCGCATCTGTGGCAAGAGCGAGCCTGAGTGCCCCGCCTGTCGCACACCCGCCACCCAGGCCATTCATATCTTTTCCTAAGGAGCTGCACCCAGGGCCATTTGTCGGCCCTGGAGTGGGGATGTGCTCTGGGCTGGGGTGGGGGAAAAGAGGGATGACAAAAGGGCAGGGGGTGGAGGGGCAGGCCGGGGGAGGGTGGGGCAGGGGGCATTGTGGCCAGTGTTTACAGACAAGCTTTAACTCCTGGTCCCAGGCATGGAGACAGTGACCCGGCAGCCCAGTGGCACCTCAGTTCTTAACAAATAACAGTATTGAGTTGACAGGTTAAAATAAACCAGAGAGAAAAGGTCTGTTGCACTTTTTATTTCACACACACACACCCAGGGTGATCTTTTTAAGAAAAATTTTTACAATTGGTTGTCCTTCTTTTCTATGAAGTGGATTTCTGATTTGACAGTGTTGTTTTTGCGCAGTCTTAGCCTCTGCAGAAAATTCCACCAGGAGGATGGTGACATTTTTACTCCCTTTTCACTCCTTTTTTGGGGCTAACTAGTCATCCTTTTGTAGATCAGCTCCAGGAAGGCCTGAGGAGGTGGGGGGAGGGGCTTAAGGGGCATCCCAATCAGAAATTTCTAACTTTTTTATTTTTAATTATTAATCCCTTTCTGCTGTGGTTTATGTTGTCCATTTTTAAATTTTTTTAATTGTTTTTTTTAAACTTTTACTTTTTACCTCTTGTGTATATGTAGCAAATTTATAGGGAAATATGTATGTACTTTATGGAATAAATTTTAAGAACTAAAATATATTTTATTTTAAAGTAACGGACCTTTAATCTTACGCAGCTAAATTACTGATTATATATTTGCTGAGCTGACTTAAGGGTTCAGAAAATTGTATCAAGAGTTTTATTTTTTGACTCCAAAGCCTTCTTAATAAAGTCTTTTTATGACATGCGAGCCCTTGGCGTGGTGTGGGGCCGGTGGGCATGGAGATGTTGGGTTGGGGGAGGGACCCTCAGACCCAGCTCCTCACCCTCCATCTTCCAGATAAAAGAATTTGGCTCAGGATACCCCATTGCAGGCTCTACTGCAAGCTAGGTGCTGTGCCCTGTTCCAGATGAGGGCATCAGGTCTCTTGGGGAGGTGCGTCCAGCCAGGCCCCCGTTTTCCTGAGGCTCAGGTTCTCCACACCCCTGGGGTGGGCCAACCATGGGGCCAGTTATAGCTTCTGCGGAGGTGGCAGTACCAGACTGTCTCTTGGGGCACCCTCCCAGCTCTGTGGTGTGTGGGGGGAACCCTGGTTCCCCCAGCATCCATCACTGCAGATGGGGATTCTGAGGTCTGAGAATCTGCCTCCTGGGTCCTAGCACTCCCATCCCAAAAAGATGTCAGTGATGAGCCACAAGCATCCCCCACTCACCTTAGGTCTAGTTGAGATCTGGCCCATTGGACCATCAGACACAGTTCAGGGCTGGGTTGATATGGAGGTGACCATCAGTAGTCAGGTACCACTAAAGTTCCAAAGGAAGGAAAAGCTCTGGAGTGAAGGGAGGGTGGGATGTGGAATGTGGTGACAAGGGCCTCGGGGACAAGGGTCTCCACTGGCTGCTGGCCTAAGGAGAAAGGTCTAGGGCACAGCCCACTAGGAAAGCTGGGAAGGCATGCTGGAGCAGCCTGGAGGGCTTCCAAGAGGAGGCAAGAGTCTTGGGACAACAGGTCAGGAGGCACAACAGGAAGAGACAGACAGAAAGCCACAGACAGACAGGGAACCCCAAGGACAGTGAACCCAGTGAGTGTCAGCCACATCAGACCCTCTGGTTGATGAGTGGAAGCATCTGGAGAGCTGAATCTTTTCCAGGGCTTCAGGGCATGGGGTGGGCCTCCAGAAGAGCCACTCACGTGGGCTTTCAGTCCAGCCCTGTTTGGGATTTCCCTGTCTGTAAAACAAGGTGCTCCACACTCCCAACTCTGGTGAGGCTCAAGGGGGTCAAGTGGGTTGAATCATGGCCCCAAAAGATATATTCCCCCAGAACCTATGATTGGGACCGTATTTGGAAAAGGGTCTTTGCAGATATATAATTAAGGCTCTTGAGATGAGCTCATCCTAGATTGGGGTGGTCCTAAATCCAATGATGAGTGTCCTTATAAGGGACAGAAGAGAAGAGACAGACATGCAGAGGGAGATATCCAACTCAGACATGCAAAAGGCCGTGTGACAATGATGAGACAGAGACTAGAGTGATGAGACCACAAGCCAAGGGAAGCCTCCAGCCCCCAGAAGAGGCAGGAAGGACCCTCCCCTGGAGCCTGGGGAGAGAGCACAGCCCTGCCACATCTTGATTTGGGGCTTTTGGCCTCCAGAACCATGAGAGAAAAAAATGCCAATTGTTTTAAGCTGCCCACTTTGTGGTAATTTGCTCCAGGAGTCACGGGAAACCAATACAGGTAGTGGGCAATGCTTAACCTGGCCTGACCCACAGTTTAGTAGTAAAGTTGGACACAGCTGCAGTGGCCCCAGGTGACCTGGGGGGAGGTCAGTCCAGAGCCAGACTGCAGGAGGCAGTGGAGGTGGCAGGGAGGTGAGATATGGAGACCACAAAGAGAAAGGACAGCCCTGAGGGTATGAGGGGCTGGGGGAGTTGAATGAGTTCTTGGGAAGAAGGTGGGGGCTGGATCCCAAGTCAGGGTCTCAAAAAGAGTGGGCACAATGGCGAGGTGGGGGAGAGCCTGGGGTCTGCAAGGAGTTGAAGAGAGTCTTAGGTCAGCTTTGCCTCTATTTTTTAATTCTTTAAAAAAAAAATTTTTCATTATTGATTTTACAGAGAGAGGAAGGGAGAGGGAGGGAGAGATAGAAACATCGATGACAGAGAACATCATGGCTGCCTCCTACATGCCCCCCAGTGGGACGTGGCCCAAAACCTAGGCATGTGCCCTGACCAAGAAGCAAACTGGCAACCTCTTGGTGCATGGGTCGACACTCAACCACTGAGCCACGCCGGCTGGGTAGCTTTGCCTCTTGACAGCCATGGGTGAGTCAGTTTGTCAATTTGCTGCTATAATTTGAGGAGAGAAGCACCTCAAAACTGCTCAGGATGCCCAGGAGCTCAGCAGGGGATGGAGAATGATGAGGTGGCTGAATACCTGGCCATGGGAGGGGCAAGCCCAGGGCTTAGGCCCAAATCCAGTCTGGCCAGAGCTCTCTCAAGAGGTTTTTCTTTTGTTTTTAACATTTAAAAATTAAAATTTTTTTTCTTTATTGATTTTAGAGAGAGAGGAAGGGAGAGAGAGAGAGAAACATCGATGACAGAGAACATCTATTGGCCGCCTCCTGCATGCCCCACACTGGGGATTTGGCCCACAACCTGGGCATGTGCCCTGACCTGGAACCAAACCAGCAACTCCTTAGTGCATAGGGTCGATGCTTCACCACTGAGCCACACCGGCCAGGCTCTTGAGAGGTTTTTGAAAGAGGCAACAGTAAATGGGAGTGCAGCCACAAACCAGAGGGTGGGGCTTTCATTCCTGGTGTTCTGAGGATGTGCTGTCCCAGGACTTTCCAGAAACATCTGAGGATTATGCTTACTCTCTACCTGGAGCTTGTGAAGCTGATAAGAGGAAGTCCAGAGCTGTTGAGGCCCTCAGGGAGAGCCGAGAGGTGGGCAGAGGTAGATTCTGGAGCTTGCTGTTTGAGGCTCTGGATTCAGCCCTGTCTGAAGGCAGACCATCTCACCCTCTTAGTTCTGAGCACCAATAATCCCTCCTTCTTTGTTTAAGCCACTGAGAGTCGGAGTAACTCAAACTCATAACCACCTACAGGGACCACATTCCTGGCCGGGGAGCTGGGAAGAGTTTTTTTGCAGCAAAAACAAGTATCTTATGAATATAGCTTCTCCACACTTCGGCAGATGTAGGGATGCTGGAAGCTAAGGCCCGGCTAGTGCCCTGGATACAAGCTCTCGCTCCCTTGTCACTTGTTTCTGTTGTTTCATGAACTCAGCACAGCCTACCTCACTCCTGGAAAAGAAAGCCACACGGGCTCACACAGGACTTTATCTGCCAACAGAATTTAAATCTAAATAGCACATGTGGCTGGTCGCTCCTGTACTGAACAGTATTTCTCTAGAACAGTGGTTCTCAACCTTCCTAATGTCGTGACCCTTTAATACAGTTCCTCATGCTGTAGGGGGCGCATCTGCATGTGGGCGGACCCACCTGGAGACGGATAGAGGAGCGGTGTCTTGGTTCCTAAGACCATTGGAAATATGTGTTTTCCGATGGTCTTAGTTGACCCCTGTGAAAGGGTTGTTCGACCCCCAAAGGGGTCCCAACCCACAGGTTGAGAACCGCTGCTCTAGAACTTGGTACAATGATGAGAAGGTTCTAGATCTACACTGTCCAACACAGGAGTCACCAGCCACATGGGTGACTGAGCATGAGAGGTGGCTTGTGCAACTGAGATATTGAATTTTTTATTTAATTGAAGTTTATTGTAAATTTTATTTATTTATTTATTTATTTATTTATTTATTTATTTAATCCTCACCCGAGGATATTTTTACATTTATCTTCAGACAGAGTTGGAGGGAGAGAGAATGAAACATCGATGTGAGAGAGACACATCGATTGGTTGCCACCCACATGACCCCAGTCGTGGTCAGGGATGAACCATAACTGAGGTACCTGCCCTTGGCTGGAATCGAACCAGGGACTCTTTGGTCCACAGGCCAACACTCTAACTGCTGAGCCAAACCGGCCAGGGTGAAGTTTAATGTAAATTTACATAGCCCCAGCCCTGGCCGGTTTGGCTCAGCGGTTAGAGCATCGGCCTGCGGTCCTGAGAGACCCGGGTTCGGTTCCCGCTAAGGGCGCGTACCTCGGTTGCAGTTTGTCCCCAGCCCTGGTCGGTTGTGCGGGTGGCAACCACTCGATGTGTCCCTTTCACATCGATATTTCTCTCTCTCTCTTTCTCTCTCTCCCTCCCACTCTATCTGAACAAAAAAATAGAAAAATGTCCTAGGGTGAGGATAAAAAACAAACAAAACAAAACAAAAAAATATACATAGCCCCAAACACAAAAGGGAAACATCTAGTGAAGAAACTTGCTCTACAGAACTTGATACACACACACATATACACATTTTTTTAAAAT